GTTAGTCTCAACGGTGTCCGCTCGGAAACTAGACTAACATAGACCAAAAAAAAAAAAAAAAAATTGGCCAAAATGTTAGTTTTCACCGGTGTACTACTTAAGTAGGAGGTTGTGTACAATCTCGTTCAGACTGTTTTAGTGTCATCAAACACAAGTAGATCGATATGTGGGGCCCTATCTCGTTCACCAGCGAATACTAACGTTGGACAAGCAAATAGAGCATGCCGTAGACTACTTTAGACAAAAATGAATAACGTAGAAGTAGTTGCTCATGCAGGAATATCAAAGACATTCTAGAACCCTTTCCTGCAGCGAGGGGCTCTTCTCCGTCCGCCCTACTATCAGCCACCGGCGTACAACTTAGACATCTTCCTTGTTACCCCCAAAACAAAAGACATCAAAAGGAACTGTTGCGTGCGGGGTTTTCAACATCGCGTCGGCATGGAGCAGGCTGAAGCAGGCACCACCTGGTGGTGGGGGTGGCATTCCTCCAGGCCTGGCACAAGCGAAAACTGAAGCAAATCAACTAAAGGTCCGAGATGCACAGCAAACGCAAAAGACTGAAAGTCCAGTTATCGTGACCGAAAGTGTAGGCTAAGGATTCCAGTCCTAGTAAGCTCCCAAAGGCAGGGCGACTGAACATGGTGTGGGAGCACTGAATCTTTTGCATTATTCTCGTGGAACCTCAAACGATGCCGATGTTCCTTGGCACATGCCTGACTCGATGTTGCTTTCATGGTTGACCAATAGGAGCTTTCATGCTGAACAAAGAATCGACGACGCCAAACTATTGCTCAGGATACCCCATCATCGGGCCCAAAGGGAGCATTCTGAGCAAACAGGCAAATTGAAGCGAATTGAGGTTTCCGCAAGCGTCCAAATGATCCTGTTCGCCCTGATTTACTGTAACTCTATCAACATTGTTTAGTTTAATCAAATTGCCATTGCCCAATCGTAGCCGTGAAGCAGTGCAAAAGCATGAATCGGTCCAAGCATGGAAGGACAAGAACTCTTGACCTGGGCACCCAGCAATGGACCCATCAAAGCGCCCGGAAATGGTCCAGGATGTAAGAAACCAAAGGGAGTTCGGCCTGGCATAAATTTCCTGTTTAGTTCCTACGCGCACGAGTTTACACCAGTGGCAAGACAACTGACAGAGTGACAAGACTCGTGCAAAGCATTACCGTTTTGAAGGACCATTTTGGAAAATGATTGCAATTTGTTCCATCTAGAGACCTATGACAAAAATAATCCTTTCAGAGCTGTGCCCTTGCCTTTATCCTCAAAAGGATTGCCCAAGATGCCATATGCACTCTTCTGCGTGTGCCGCTTCGGGAGCTGTTGCACCTGTCCATTGGGAACGCAGACCACTGGCAACAACAGAAACTCATCATTTCAATTGTTGTGGCAAATAATGCATGTAGCCAATGAGGTCTCAGCAATAGATTGTCTGATGAACCTGATTAATGATTCAATGATTACGCAAAGCAAATGGAGGTGTTTGCACACATCCACATTAGAGTTTCTCGTCCAAATTAGGTTTCTGACGATACCCAGCTAATCGGAATTTTATCAAACATTCTCACCACCCCGAACCTGCAGGACGCAAACCTCTTCATTGTTGGCCATCCAATGCTTGCTGTTCTTCTTGATGGGGGCCTAGCTAGAAAATGACGCATCGGGCCGCAATCAGCTGAGTGCAGCAGCGCAGAGTCTTGCAGGTTTGAATCCAGGCGGCTTGGAACCAACAGCAGCTCGATAATGATGCAACACCCACCAACAAAATATACTATTACAATAATAATCAATAGTATTATATATATATAGCGTGATCGGGGTACATAGTGAAGATCCCGTCAAATGTAACTAACCCAACGTGGCATCAGGAGCCACTGCAGCAAGGTTTTTCCCACTTCTTCAGGCAACTTGTTTCCCATAGCACTTGCCGGGCTTCGTGCAAGTTGCATTGTTCGTCATAATTCAAGCGCATCTCCCAAAAACAGCGCCAGTCTTTCATTCATATTCTCGGACAATGATTGGACGTAACAACTTTCTTCGTGCGCCCTACAAATCAGAAGCAGTCAAAACATGTCAAAACTCTTTGCTCGGAACCATCCTGCTCCGGAACCTGCTGGAACGTGCTCCGGAGGAACGTGTTCCAGAACCTGCTTCGAAACCTGCTCCGGAACCTGCTCGGAAACTTGCCCCAGAACCTGCCCCGAGACCTGCTCCGAGACCTGTTCCGATCTGCTCCGAGGTCTTTGTATACTGTGGCTGAAGACCCCTAAGCTTCGCTGTTGGAAAAACTTGTCGTAAACCATGAGGCTGTTGTGTCAAACAGTTTGAAGATCTCAGACCGTGCGAGACTCTTGCCTGAAACTCCTGTGCACTCTTATAGGCCACTCTTGCGCAAGACACTATTGCTCAAAACTCTGATGCAAGATTCTTCTGAGAGAGTGTGACACTTTTGTAGGAAACCTTGTAGAACACTCTTGTGCCACTTTAGGACTCTCTTGCAGGATACTCTTGCTTACACTTTTGTCGGACACATCAGGGATCATCAGGGCACTCTTTTGCGACACTCTTCTACACCACTCATGTGGGACTCTCTTGGGCGACATCCTTCAAAGGCATCGTTGTGTGAAACTCTTGTGGGGTGGGCACTTTTGCTTGCACGCTCATACTTAAAGTAAAGTGGGATGTTTCCTCAACGAGCGTTCTGTCCGAGACTTCCTCAGCAATTGAAGCGCAAGGAACGTTTCGCACGAGACATCCTACAAAATCTAAAAACAAGCAATTCGTCCGAGACTTTGTCCAGTGGGACCAAGAAAAGCGCTTCGCAAAAGTCCGTCGAAACTCTCAGCAGAGCGCAACGCCTTTCAAAACCCAAAGCATCTCAGAGACTGCCCCCACCAAGACAAAACCAAGTGGCAGGGCGATGCGCGCTCACCAAATGCCACCACCTCCCGATCCACAACGCCTGCCTGTGACGAAAATGGACTCCAGACACCACCACGGCACACAAAGAGGCACTGTGCCTGCCACAATGACAATTCCCACACCTTCGTGTGCTTAGCAATTTTTGCACCACTCCACACGCTTGGAGTCGAATTCTACACTTTCCGACCTCACTTGCATCCACCAAAACGGCAGTGTTGGCTGAGGCCAGTCACAGCAAAATTCAACACGTCCCAAAAACAACCCTGGTAAGCCAAATCCCCGAGGCACTATCACAACGACACACAGTGTGGACATTGCGAAACGGTGCACCTGTGCAGGAAAATGAGACAGCCTTCCCAAAAAGCTTCCCCCAATGAGAGGGCCATGGAAATGGACGATTGCAGTCTTGCAGCATCAAGCGAACACGACCTCACACCTGCAGAGTTAAACGAGAACCCGCCGTTAAGCATTCAGAAGACCGCGAGCAAGCAGGACACAGCATGCACTGGTTTTCTCGAAAGCTGCCTATAAGGGGTACGCAAGAGAAACAAAGGTTTGTATTATTGTGCCACCTTCATGATTGGGTGGGCTTGACATGGATGATGTGCTCAACTTTTTACAGGAATTTGCGCTGTTGAATTGGATTGAGTGAAAATAGTCCGCCCCTTTGGTAGTGTTGGGTTTTGTTCATCTTTGTTCCAACAGTTGTTCGACCTTTCACTGTTATACTTGCAGACTTGCAGGTTCATGCAATCACACATGTTAAATTTGATAGGCGGCAGTGGTTTGCTTGGAAACATAAACATTGCAAAGAAATACTTAGTGTATTCAAACTCTTGGCCGGGTTCTGATTCTGCAAAAATATGACTGTGAAAACATGTGTGGAATAGAAACTTACAGTAACAAATCTGCAACTTTGCGAGTTCGGTAAACTTGAGTGAGTCCTCTCCATCAAATTGCCCTGGCCCGACCTCCTGCATGAGGTTGTTTGAATTTATCTCCAAATCCCAATTGTCACCTAGGATTCAACGCTTAATCAGCATCACGCAAGCATGAGGGATCACACGACATTTGGCCTCATCACCGTTTCGGCTCAGTTTGTGGCCATCATGCCCAGCAATCTCAATTGAGACCTCCATGAATTGCAGCCAATGTCAAGTGCATGTTTGGTTTTCTCTTTGCGGCCTGTCGATTGGAGTGGGTCACAACAGAAAGCTTTATGGTTTTATATATATATTATCGTATTATATAATGAAATATTATATATTGATTGTTGAGGGTTACACAGATCAGTTGCATGTCAAAGTCTGGAAGGAAACTAACTCCGTCTCTCATGAAGGGTAGCCAATGGTTGCGCTGCAACATGCAGGCATGATCAACGAATCAAACTCATGAGGCCCTACACTGTCTTCGTAAGATTTCGTTGCATGGGAAACGCGCACGTTGAGAAGCAAGCACTCTTGTCAAATTTGTGATACAGATGCAGCCCCAAATTCTCCAATCGGTTCAGAGATCTGCACCTGACCCGTGATGGTCGACTTCACCTCGCAATCGCACACCACCACATTTCCAACATCCTTGTCCTCAGCGCTCTGGATTGACTAGGATGTCGGACTCGTGGCCAAAGTATGCTGCAAGTGTGTGTGTGTCAACCCCTGTTCCGAAGGGTGCTTACACGCAGGGGGCTGGAGTGTGCTTCAGATGTCTCCAGCCAATGAAGACGCATCTGTCGCACAGTGACATAGTTCTGGGACGCCAGAACTACGTACCTGCTTTCTTCAACTGTTGACAAGCTGTCCACTCTCGCTTTTTG